TTTTTTGCTACATCTAATGCTATACCAGGGTGGTCAACGTCGCTTCCGTGGAGGTCGTGGCCGCGGCTACCGCTTCCGTGGAGGACGTGGACGTGGTGGTGGCGGATCCGGTCAAGTTGCTAATCATGATGACGGAGGAGCTGAAGGCCAACAGGTTGTTTTTATATGTGGTTTTCCAAGTGCACTGGTCATGCTGTAGTGTGTCTAGGGAGAGGCAGCGAATGGAGGCGAGGGAGGACGTGGAAGAGGACGTCGTGGTCGTGGTGGACGTGGACGTGGAGGCCGTGGCCGCGGTGGTGGCAACAATGGCGGCAACGGAAATAATGGAAATGGTGGTGCTAAAGATTCTGAAGCTTAAGTGAGCCAGTCTATCTTTTGTTATGCCTTTTAAATTACAGGAACAAGTTTTTCATTTGGGTTTCGTTAATATCTTCTTATGTTACAGGCCATGGTCTCCATTCTACTCCATCTTAAATTTCGAGGGCATCAACGGTCATTCAGTCTCCATCAATCAAATATCCTACATCAACCTTTTCGAAGAACCCCGTTTCAAATAGAACCAGTATATCTCTTGAACAACTGCTCTAACCGTACGCTAGGCTACCGTACAACAAAAATCCAACCGTAATTAAACCTAACTATCTTTCGTACCGCCACAACATCGGCGGTAGCCGGGCGGCATGATGCAGCCAAACTGGATCCATAATCGCTGCAAGCATGAACTCATTGACTCCTTCATGGTGAATTCTTTGATTTCATGAGATCGTATTTATTGTAAAGTTGCAGCGTTTATGAATTCAGGTAGATTTGGTCTGCTATAATACATCAACAACTTTGCCCTGTTTCATTTTTCCACCATCCTTCACGTCTGGGTGATGCTCAGAAATAGTACATCTTTGACATAAATTGTTATGTTCTTGTGTTCGTCATCGATCATTGAAAGAAGAAAACCAACAAAAGTTAGGGTTTGAAGTTCTTCAAAAGAAGTATTTGCCAAGATTGTTTGGCTGCGGTCATTATGCAGGTCGAAACCTTGGAGAGTCAACCTGTCAAGTGGGTGATACCATATGTCGAAACGGCGATTTGAAAAATGAACCATTATTGAGTAATTTTTGGAAAATTTTCAATAATCAGATGAGTAATCGCGTTTAGAAAAACCATGCGTTCCGACCAAATTCTTTCGAATGCATTCGGTCTCAGTTGTGGTTCGCACAGTCCTATGTGAAAAAAAACTGAGGAGAAGAAAAGTGTAGCGTTTCTTGATCCTCATCTCAATAACTCGATGGAAACCAATGTTTAAAGGCAGCGTCCGGGCAAAATCCACCCCATCCAG